ACCCCTGCTGGCAGAAATCTGTTCTTGCCTGATGAAAGGGTGACGGTGACCTGTGCCTCAGGATTCTGGATCTTTAGCAAAACATCCGAACAGACAGTAACATGCAAAGAGGACGGAAAGTGGTCATCTTCTACAGATTGTGAACGTATGTTTATACTGGAGAGTATATTGTAGTATGATATATTGAGGGTATATATTGGGGTATACACAGGTGAATCACTGTGAATTACTGTACAGGTATGGTTCATGCTGACACTAAACATCTCTATCATTGTAGCGATAACCTGTGATGATCCACGTGACCCTCTTGTGAGTTCTCCCTACCGCTGGCAGCGAGGTCAATTGGGAAACACTCAGCGTTACAGCTGTAAAACCGGATTTAAAACCACAAATGCCAGGGGTGTTGCCACATGCACAAGTGATGGCTCCTGGACTCCACACCCACTCTGTGAAGGTGCAGTATTTTGAAGGACGCCATCTTTGAATACCACTATGGTTTGATTACCTTGTGGTCGGATGTTAGTTTGGACTGCATCAGAATTACGTTGTTTGTCTTTCAGAGATAACATGTGACAAGCCAGATATCCCAAATGCTGTGATTGAAGACCCTAAAACAAGATCAAATCAAATCAAATCAAATCAAATTTTATTGGTCACATGCGCCGAATACAACAGGTGCAGACATTACAGTGAAATGCTTACTTACAGCCCTTAACCAACAGTGCATTTATTTTAAACAAAAAAAGTAAGAATAAAACAACAACAAAAAAGTGTTGAGAAAAAAAGAGCAGAAGTAAAATAAAGTGACAGTAGGGAGGCTATATATACAGTAAAATAAAGTGACAGTAGGGAGGCTATATATACAGGGGGGTACCGTTGCAGAGTCAATGTGCGGGGGCACCGGCTAGTTGAGGTAGTTGAGGTAATATGTACATGTGGGTAGAGTTAAAGTGACTATGCATAAATACTTAACAGAGTAGCAGCAGCGTAAAAAGGATGGGGTGGGGGGGCAGTGCAAATATTCCGGGTAGCCATGATTAGCTGTTCAGGAGTCTTATGGCTTGGGGGTAGAAGCTGTTGAGAAGTCTTTTGGACCTAGACTTGGCACTCCGGTACTGCTTGCCGTGCGGTAGCAGAGAGAACAGTCTATGACTAGGGTGGCTGGAGTCTTTGACAATTTTGAGGGCCTTCCTCTGACACCGCCTGGTATAGAGGTCCTGGATGGCAGGGAGCTTTGCCCCAGTGATGTACTGGGCCGTACGCACTACCCTCTGTAGTGCCTTGCGGTCAGAGGCCAAGCAGTTGCCATACCAGGCGGTGATGCAACCAGTCAGGATGCTCTCGATGGTGCAGCTGTAGAATTTTTTGAGGATCTGAGGACCCATGCCAAATCTTTTTAGTCTCCTGAGGGGGAATAGGCTTTGTCGTGCCCTCTTCACGACTGTCTTGGTGTGTTTGGACCATGATAGTTCGTTGGTGATGTGGACACCAAGGAACTTGAAGCTCTCAACCTGTTCCACTACAGCCCCGTCGATGAGAATGGGGGCGTGCTCAGTCCTCTTTTTTTTCCTGTAGTCCACAATCATCTCCTTTGTCTTGGTCACGTTGAGGGAGAGGTTGTTGTCCTGGCACCACACGGCCAGATCTCTGACCTCCTCCCTATAGGCTGTCTCATCGTTGTCGGTGATCAGGCCTACCACTGTTGTTTCGTCGGCAAACTTAATGATGGTGTTGGAGTCGTGCCTGGCCATGCAGTCATGGGTGAACAGAGAGTACAGGAGGGGACTGAGCACGCACCCCTGAGGGGCCCCCGTGTTGAGGATCAGTGTGGCAGATGTGTTGTTACCTACCCTTACCACCTGGGGGCGGCCCGTCAGGAAGTCCAGGATCCAGTTGCAGAGGGAGGTGTTTAGTCCCAGGATCCTTGGCTTAGTGATGAGCTTAGAGGGCACTATGGTGTTGAATGCTGAGCTGTAGTCAATGAATAGCATTCTCACGTAGGTGTTCCTCTTGTCCAGGTGGGAAAGGGCAGTGTGGAGTGCGATAGAGATTGCATCATCTGTGGATCTGTTGGGGCGGTATGCAAATTGGAGTGGGTCTAGGGTTTCTGGGATTATGCTGTTGATGTGAGCCATGACCAGTCTTTCAAAGCACTTCATGGCTACAGACGTCAGTGCTACGGGTCGGTAGTCATTTAGGCAGGTTATCTTAGAGTTCTTGGGCACGGGGACTATGGTGGTCTGCTTGAAACATGTTGGTATTACAGACTCAGTCAGGGACATGTTGAAAATGTCAGTGAAGACACTTGCCAGTTGGTCAGCACATGCTCGGAGTACACGTCCTGGTAATCCGTCTGGCCCTGCGGCCTTGTGAATGTTGACCTGCTTAAAAGTCTTACTCACATCGGCTACGGAGAGCGTGATCACATAGTCGTCCGGAGCAGCTGGTGCTCTCATGCATGCTTCAGTGTTGCTTGCCTCGAAGCGAGCATAGAAGTGGTTTAGCTCGTCTGGTAGGCTTGTGTCACTGGGCAGCTCGCGGCTGTGCTTCCCTTTGTAGTCTTGTAGTATGAACAGTATTATATACAGTATTATACACAGTCCTGACATCATTAAACACTGTCTCTATAGTAGGAGTGATCAGCAGTGTTACTCCAGACTCTGATTATCCTGTCATGTGATTTCATTCCTACAGATATCTGACAGAGTCATGATGTTCCGTCCATCAAATTCAAGAATCCTTACAAAGCCTTCTTTATGTGCAAGGAGAAGACCTTTTTGCTTTTGTGGTTTCTTTTTCGCTTGTTTAAGTTAGGTTTAGAAAAAATGTGAGCCATCCTGTTATGGAATATATGTAGATTTCTCTTTTTCAACATTTGACATTGTATCATCATTGTAACAAAATAACAGTATATTTCTAATCATATCAGTCTCAGCATCACTATAATAACAGCACAGCTATCTAAAGCTAGACTAAAATGGTAAATGAGTACAAAGAGATGTGATTGTGTGAATATCCTCCTATCAAGTTTATAAATTGCCTGGCTGGGCTGATGAGACAGTGGATTGCGCAGTCAGATGGAACAGAGTAAATAGGCCTTTCAATGTCATAGATTTAGCTGGTGGTAACTTGTGGAATAGACAACGGCTGGAATGCGGTTTTAACCCATCAGCATTCAGGATTATCCGTTGTATAATATGTGAATGTCCTCCTGTATCTCCCAGCTGTGTGATTCATTATCTGAAGGTTTAATATAAATGAACAACTGATGTTATGATTGTGATTGACCTTATCAAGGAAGACAATAAAGTTGTCAAAAAGAGATGACGTGTTGTCTCCATGAGTCTTTACAAGGCTACAGCATAACAGAATAAGATGATTTACAGCTGTTATCCTAACAAACACACATGCAGTATTAAAGCTGACTGAAGCTATTTCTCAGGTCAGTATCACTGTTCCATAGATCGCTTTTGTAAATCAGTTTTGTCTCTTAACATCCACCTATACTGTAGCTAATTTCTCAAGGGAACAGTAGATCTTCTCCAATGTCTCAGAACAGTATCAGTAATAACATGTCCCAGTTGGTCATGTTTTTTTTTAATTTTTTTGACTTCTTGCCAATAGTGATCTCAGCTTACTGGAAGTGATGGCAACTGTCTTGTTGGACAACCATATGAATGAATAATGGATTGTCCAACATTAAATAAAGTGCCTCTGGTTCTAATTTACTAATCTACTCTTTAGTTCATCTTGGAATATTATCATCAAGTATTTTTTACATAATTGAAGCAGCCAGACAATATCTATAAAAATGTTCCTGTGGTGTTCTTCACCATGTATTTTGACTACATCATCGTCACTGAGTGAACATTAAGGCAGGAATATTGACCTTCAATTCTTATATGCAAGAAAACTTTTAATGTAATGTTAAGAATGTTTTGTTTAGCTGATAGGCTAATATTGGACAAACACTGGCATGCTCCCAAGGTGTAGCAATTGATTTTGGCCCTCCCCTGTTGCCCTTGGAAAACATGGCTTACTGGAATAAACATGCTGAAGGCCATGTCCGTAGACAGTTAACTAGATTTATATAAGGGTTATGTTAGTACAGTACTCTTTATTTTTTAAATTGTTCCCTGGAATATTATCACACACACACCATCAAGCTTTCTCATCCCACTTGGCACAGACTTCAACTCAATGTCTATGCCACGTTGGTTCAATTTAATTGAAATGACGTGGAAACAACTTTGACTCAACCAGTGTGTGCCCAGTGGGATGTTAGTGGTGCTGGGAATGACATTATCAAAGTTCACTATAAATATTTTTTACAATATCAAAGCAGCCAGAGAATATCTATGAAAGTGTCCCTGTGGTCCTTGCAATGTATTTCAACTGCATCATCATCAGGTAGTGCCTTGATGATGTGTTCATTGCTGTTTGCATTCTACACATTGAGGCAGGAATATTGACCTTCTTCTCATATGCAAGAAAACTTTTAATGTAAAGTTATGTGTGTTTTGTTTAGTTGTTAGGCTAATATGGAGTAAACCCTGGCATGCTCCCAAGGTGTAGAAGTCAAGAAAACTTGAACTTGAAATGGATTTTGGCTCTCCCCTTTTGCCCCTGGAAAACACGGCTTGATGGGAAAAGGTTGTTTTGCTGGAACAAACATTAGCCATGTCAATAGACAGGGAACAGCCAGGTTTATGCAAAGTTTATGTCAGTGCAGATTTGATCAACGTATTTTGTGATTCAACAATAACTTTACAAATGGAGCTTATCATCATTGCAATCAACATTCAAAGTGATACCAGTCTAAATGACTTTCTAGCTCTAAACCTATGCTCGTCAGATTAGCTATGTCTCTATATAGCTGACCAAATGATTTGCACTTGAAATGTGTTTTGTTTTGCTCAAATAATTAATAGACTGAACCAACGCAGTTCCTACATTGAGCATTTTCCTCAGTGTTTTCCCCCCGCAATGTAGGTTTGATTGAATTCCAGTATTTTGGGTCAGTCCCCCTGGACAGTGATTCTCTTCAGTGCTCCCTGGGGGCTGGAACTCTGTAGACAATCATTAACTTTGGGATAGACACTGTTTATTTATGGTCTACTCCTTCCATTTTTACTGCATCTACCATTTGATCATGAAATCATCTCTGACTCTGCTGTGTCTGGTGGTATGGGTGAATGTGGATGCTTCATCAGCTCAGACTGGTAAGAATGTGTTTTCCTTCACTTTCTCACATGCTTGTAGTGACCACATTGGGTTAGTATCCACCAATTGCTCTGTAAGACGCTGACTAGACTATACAAAGTGAGCAAACATAATTGATGTATTCACGTTTCTTATTATAGCTAATAACTAAGCTCATTGTCAATATATAAGTAAGTGAAATGACAATTGACCAGCAGAAAATCTTGCAGACATAGCAGCGATTTCTTGTCCAGTGGGGGATTTCTTGTCCAGGGGGGGATTTGTTGTCCGGGGGGGGGGGCTGTATCAGTCCGATAATACGGGCGGCAATGGTCAGGACCAGCCCTGAATACAAGGGTAGTAAAGGCCTAGTGCACTACTTTTGTGAATCATTGTTTTCTTTTTTATTATTAAACAATTTTTTAATTTAGACTTTTCAGGGGGTGCTGCGGCACCCTCAACACCCCTACTTCCTGTGGCTATGGTAACAGAATGTGTCTTTAAAAGGTTTCAATGCTAATCTCCAACTCATGTGTAACCCCAACTCATCTCCAACTAATTAAACTGCAGTTGAATCTCATAATTTCTAATAATATCCATTATAATTTAACGTTGTATTGATACAGATCCGATAATGTCACAGAACTGAAACTTATTTGTACTATACTACTGTAATAGAAATGTGTGATGATCAGTGATGTCGAGAGCTTGGGACTAGAGGGTTCTATTTGCAAAAAGAGGATTTGGAGATAATTGGCTTTAAAGTTCAGAAACCTCATTGGTTTGAATGGTCAGCTAATTTGATCTTGTATTCTTTTGAACTTAACAACATGAATTAGGGTATTTAGAATACTATATAGGTAGCGAACACTGAACAGAACAAGGCTGTGTCAATAACAACACAGAACCTTATAGTCTCAAGCTCTCGATTTGTCTAAAGGTTTTTCCTCTGCTCCTCTGTCAGTGTGCACGGGACCTCTTCCGAATGTGCCCAATGCCGGGGTCACTGAGGAAAGCATCAAAGAAGAGTACAAAGAGGGGGCCATCCTCCTCTTTTCCTGCAACTTTGGCTTTGTACCAGCAGGCAGAACAAGTTATTTGTGTGAGAAGCAGAAGTGGGTGGTGTTACGTCAGGGGAAATGCAAGCGTGAGTATTTCTTTAAATGTTACAGATTCGATATTGTCTATATACATTTTACATTTTAGTCATTTAGCAGACGTTCTTATCCATAGCGACTTACAGTTAGTGTATTTATCTTAAAGGGTTAGTTTGTGATTTTGTCAATGAGGGGAAGAAGATAAAGGGCCTCATTGCCAAAATCAACATTTTTCATCAAATAAAAAAGCTATAGTAGTAGTTATGATTAGCATAACCCCATAATAGCTTAGTTAATTCAACCCTCTAAAAGATCTGTTGACACATCGTTTTCCTGATGTTTCCTGACATCTAGCTAAACCATGTGAGCTCCCTGAGGAAACTGCCAATGGCCACTACACCATCCACCTCGGGGATGACTTTGTCTTTGGGGCCGTTCTCAAATACACTTGCAATGATGGGTAAGTAGTCTAACAAATTGATTTTTTCTTTTTAATTGCGTAAAAAAAATAAAAAATATATATTAATACTTTTTCTTTAGAGTTAATAGCCCCCACCCCAATAGCCCTCTGTCCCCCCAATCGAGCCTGCCTAGTATGGGGTTGAATTTAGAACACGGACTAATGATGCCGTAGATTTCATAATACTACCTAATCACTTGACTAATGTCTCTAGTTATCAGATGGTGAGCAAAACGGACAGCAGGACCTGTATGGTAGCAGGATGGAGCAACCACCTGCCCATATGTGAAGGTAACCACGTATTCACTGAATATTATAAACTGGGTAGTTTGGCTCCTGGATGCTGATTGTCTGAAAGCCATGGTATATCAGACTGTATACCATGGGTATGACCCCCAAAAAAACATTTTACTGTTCTAATTACATTTGTAACCAGTTTATAATAGCAATAAGGCACCTCTGGGGTTTGTGGTATATGGTCAATATACCACAGCTAAAGGCTATGTCAAGGCACTCCGCGTTGCATCGTGCATAAGAACAGCCCTTAGCCGTGGTATATTGGCCATATACTGTACCACAACCCCTCGGGCCTTATTGCTTCATTATAGTATATAGTATATACCACTTTGTACTTGCTTTATACAACACACATTACACTTTAACTCCGAGGGTTCATGAAGTTATAGGCTATAGAACACCCTGCAATGTGATCTTTCTCTGTAGTGGTGAGTTGTGTCCCCGAGGCTACAGATGGACGGGTGGTTGTGAGCGGTCTGCCAGATGATGGTGGTCTTATACAGTACGGTCATGAGCTCAGGTTCAGCTGCCCCAACCCAGAACACCAACTGGAGGGAAACCCACAGGTTGTGTGCGCCGCGGGGGGGAGGTGGAACAGCCGTTTCCCCACCTGTGAAGGTAAACATTTCACGTTAGCCAAAACTAAGCAAATCACTTTATTGACAACAATATGTACCTTCAGATGTTACATCAGCTGTGCAAATGATCTATTCTATCTATTTTTTCCCCTTACATAATAGACGTGACTTG